CATTCATGTGGAGCAGTGTGAGTGTAACCATGTAAAAATACCATGACTGGAGATGTGGCAACTAATTTTTGCCATATAAATATAGAACAGTACAAAAATTAGAGTATACAGGAACAGTATATACAGTATATTTAATACAAAAATATAAATACTGGTATTTTTGTGTGGCCATATCATGCTCAGTATTTTGGGAAAGTTTTAACTTAATAAATATGAATTCATTAATTATATTTCCAGTTTATTGGTTATATAAAATAGCTTAAAAATATAAAATACCTTACATAAAATGGCTTAACTGAAGATAGAAATCAATCTTTCAACACACTGGCCGTATCCCACCGAGGCGGGGTGGCCCAAAAGGAAAAACGAAAGTTTCTCCTTTTACATTTAGTAATATATACAGGAGAAGAGGTTACTAGCCCCTTGCTCCCGGCATTTTAGTCGCCTCTTACAACATGCATGGCTTAAGGAGGAAGAATTCTGTTCCACTTCCCCATGGAGATAAGAGGAAATAAACAAGAATAAGAACTAGAAAGAAAATAGAAGAAAGCCCAGAGGGCTGTATATATATGTGCTTGTACATGTATGTATAGTGTGACCTAAGTGTAAGCAGAAGTAGCAAGACATACCTGAAATCTTGCATGTTCATGAGACAGAAAAAAGGACACCAGCAATCCTACCATCATGTAAAACAATTACAGGCTTTTGTTTTACACTCACTTGGCAGGACGGTAGTACCTCCCTGGGCGGATGCTGTCTACCAACCTACTACCTATAGATAGAAATAAAAATACAAATATAAATTGCTATAATGTGTGGACTGGTAATATTATTTATACAGTGCCAGTAGCTAAATGCCATAGTAAATATTATTTAAATAATACTTTGTTAATACTTCCATGAGCAACCTGGAAAACGCTTGGCTTTTGTAATTTAGACTAGTGTCAATTGTTCAAATATTTTATCTCATTAATATTAATGATAATAAAAAATGATGACTGTGAAACAAAAACCTGTAACTGTTTTGCATGTTGGTAGGATTGCTGGTTTCTTTTCCTGTCTCATAAACATGCTAGATAACAGGGATATCTTGCTACTCCTACTTACACTTTGGTCACACTTCACAGACACGCACATGCATATATATATACATACATCTAGGTTTTTCTCCTTTTTCTAAATAGTTCTTGTTCTTCTTTATTTCTTCTATTGTCCATGTGGAAGTGGAAAAGAAACTTTCCTCCGCAAGCCATGCGTGTCGTATGAGGCGACTAAAATGCCGGGAGCAATGGGCTAGTAATCCCTTCTCCTGTAGACATTTACTAAAAAAGAGAAGAAGAAAAAACTTTATAAAACTGGGATGCTTAAATGTGCGTGGATGTAGTGCGGATGACAAGAAACAGATGATTGCTGATGTTATGAATGAAAAGAAGTTGGATGTCCTGGCCCTAAGCAAAACAAAGCTGAAGGGGGTAGGGGAGTTTCAGTGGGGGGAAATAAATGGGATTAAATCTGGAGTATCTGAGAGAGTTAGAGCAAAGGAAGGGGTAGCAGTAATGTTAAATGATCAGTTATGGAAGGAGAAAAGAGAATATGAATGTGTAAAATTCAAGAATTATGTGGATTAAAGTAAAGGTTGGATGCGAGAAGTGGGTCATAATAAGCGTGTATGCACCTGGAGAAGAGAGGAATGCAGAGGAGAGAGAGAGATTTTGAGAGATGTTAAGTGAATGTATAGGAGCCTTTGAACCAAGTGAGAGAGTAATTGTGGTAGGGGACCTGAATGCTAAAGTAGGAGAAACTTTTAGAGAGGGTGTGGTAGGTAAGTTTTGGGGTGCCAGGTGTAAATGATAATGGGAGCCCTTTGATTGAACTTTGTATAGAAAGGGGTTTAGTTATAGGTAATACATATTTTAAGAAAAGAGGATAAATAAGTATACAAGATATGATGTAGGGCGAAATGACAGTAGTTTGTTGGATTATGTATTGGTAGATAAAAGACTGTTGAGTAGACTTCAGGATGTACATGTTTATAGAGGGGCCACAGATATATCAGATCACTTTCTAGTTGTAGCTACACTGAGAGTAAAAGGTAGATGGGATACAAGGAGAATAGAAGCATCAGGGAAGAGAGAGGTGAAGGTTTATAAACTAAAAGAGGAGGCAGTTAGGGTAAGATATAAACAGCTATTGGAGGATAGATGGGCTAATGAGAGCATAGGCAATGGGGTCGAAGAGGTATGGGGTAGGTTTAAAAATGTAGTGTTAGAGTGTTCAGCAGAAGTTTGTGGTTACAGGAAAGTGGGTGCAGGAGGGAAGAGGAGCGATTGGTGGAATGATGATGTAAGAGAGTAGTAAGGGAGAAAAAGTTAGCATATGAGAAGTTTTTACAAAGTAGAAGTGATGCAAGGAGGAAGAGTATATGGAGAAAAAGAGAGAGGTTAAAGAAGTGGTGAAGCAATGTAAAAAGAGAGCAAATGAGAGAGTGGGTGAGATGTTATCAACAAATTTTCTTGAAAATAAGAAAAAGTTTTGGAGTGAGATTAACAAGTTAAGAAAGCCTAGAGAACAAATGGATTTGTCAGTTAAAAATAGGAGAGGAGAGTTATTAAATGGAGAGTTAGAGGTATTGGGAAGATGGAGGGAATATTTTGAGGAATTGTTAAATGTTGATGAAGATAGGGAAGCTGTGATTTCGTGTATAGGGCAAGGAGGAATAACATCTTGTAGGAGTGAGGAAAAGCCAGTTGTGAGTGTGGGGGAAGTTCGTGAGGCAGTAGGTAAAATGAAAGGGGGTAAGGCAGCCGGGATTGATGGGATAAAGATAGAAATGTTAAAAGCAGGTGGGGATATAGTTTTGGAGTGGTTGGTGCAATTATTTAATAAATGTATGGAAGAGGGTAAGGTACCTAGGGATTGGCAGAGAGCATGCATAGTTCCTTTGTATAAAGGCAAAGGGGATAAAAGAGAGTGCAAAAATTATAGGGGGATAAGTCTGTTGAGTGTACCTGGTAAAGTGTATGGTAGAGTTATAATTGAAAGAATTAAGAGTAAGACGGAGAATAGGATAGCAGATGAACAAGGAGGCTTTAGGAAAGGTAGGGGGTGTGTGGACCAGGTGTTTACAGTGAAAACATATAAGTGAACAGTATTTAGATAAGGCTAAAGAGGTCTTTGTGGCATTTATGGATTTGGAAAAGGCGTATGAAAAGGGTGGATAGGGGGGCAATGTGGCAGATGTTTGCAAGTGTATGGTGTAGGAGGTAGGTTACTGAAAGCAGTGAAGAGTTTTTACGAGGATAGTGAGGCTCAAGTTAGAGTATGTAGGAAAGAGGGAAATTTTTTCCCAGTAAAAATAGGCCTTAGACAAGGATGTGTGATGTCACCGTGGTTTGTTTAATATATTTATAGATGGGGTTGTAAGAGAAGTAAATGCGAGGGTCTTGGCAAGAAGCGTGGAGTTAAAAGATAAAGAATCACACACAAAGTGGGAGTTGTCACAGCTGCTCTTTGCTGATGACACTGTGCTCTTGGGAGATTCTGAAGAGAAGTTGCAGAGATTGGTGGATGAATTTGGTAGGGTGTGCAAAAGAAGAAAATTAAAGGTGAATACAGGAAAGAGTAAGGTTATGAGGATAACAAAAAGATTAGGTGATGAAAGATTGGATATCAGATTGGAGGGAGAGAGTATGGAGGAGGTGAATGTATTCAGATATTGGGAGTGGACGTGTCAGCAGATGGGTCTATGAAAGATGAGGTGAATCATAGAATTGATGAGGGAAAAGAGTGAGTGGTGCACTTAGGAGTCTGTGGAGACAAAGAACTTTGTCCTTGGAGGCAAAGAGGGGAATGTATGAGAGTATAGTTTTACCAATGCTCTTATATGGGTGTGAAGCGTGGGTGATGAATGTTGCAGCGAGGAGAAGGCTGGAGGCAGTGGAGATGTCATGTCTGAGGGCAATGTGTGGTGTGAATATAATGCAGAGAATTCGTTAGTTTGGAAGTTAGGAGGAGGTGCGGAATTACCAAAACTGTTGTCCAGAGGGCTGAGGAAGGGTTGTTGAGGTGGTTCGGACATGTAGAGAGAATGGAGCGAAACAGAATGACTTCAAGAGTGTATCAGTCTGTAGTGGAAGGAAGGCGGGGTAGGGTTGGCCTAGGAAAGGTTGGAGGGAGGGGGTTAAAGGAGGTTTTGTGTGTGAGGGGCTTGGACTTCCAGCAGGCATGCGTGAGCGTGTTTGATAGGAGTGAATGGAGACAAATGGTTTTTAATACTTGACGTGCTGTTGGAGTGTGAGCAAAGTAACATTTATGAAGGGATTCAGGGAAACCGGCAGGCCGGACTTGAGTCCTGGAGATGGGAAGTACAGTGCCTGCACTCTGAAGGAGGGGTGTTAATGTTGCAGTTTAAAAACTGTAGTGTAAAGCACCCTTCTGGCAAGACAGTGATGGAGTGAATGATGGTGAAAGTTTTTCTTTTTCGGGCCACCCTGCCTTGGTGGGAATCGGCCAGTGTGATAATAAAAAAAAAAAAAAAAAAAAAAATAACTACAGTGGACCCCTGGTTAACGATATTTTTTCATTCCAGAAGCATGTTCAGGTGCCAGTACTGACCGAATTTTTTCCCATAAGGAATATTGTGAAGTATGTTAGTCCATTTCAGACCCCCAAACATACACGTACAAACACACTTACATAAATACACTTACATAATTGGTCGCATTTGGAGGTGATCGTTAAGCGGGGGTCCACTGTATTTTGTATTTTTAACTCATAGCTACTTAGTAATAAACACTACAGTACATAATGTGCATACTCTATTATACTGTAATACATGCATAAAAAAGTGAACAAACATATTACAGCACTGTCCCTACAAGAGAAGGCTTTAGTGGGTACTGAATTTCTTTATTGTGTAGGTACAAAAGAAGAAGTTCCCAAGATTCATTATATACCATTTAGAGAAATAAAAGCAAGTGTACCTAACATAGAGAAAATACCTTGGCACGGTCAGGAGATGAAGCCTCAGGGACCAGTCTTTCAACACAGTCACGCATCCACCATACAGGGCTATTAGGACCTGCGAACAATGATATAAAATGAATATGCCACAAAAAATGGTTCTGTATGCATGTTAACAAGATATATGATAGGAAAGTTATGAAGAGAGAAGCAAAAAATTGCATCATGTTATTCCAACAAGAACTTTTGTAGACATCTTTGATGCCTTGTTGTCACAAGGACCTCCACTTCCAAGAAAGATTATCCTTATACTGTATATTCTCTAAACATTTCAACTTCTTCCAAGCATTAAAGCCATAAAGCAGCATTTGAAACATACACAGAGAACTTCACATTCTGGTTAGGTGATTGCACAAGGGAAATAACTATTGCTTCATTCCAATGAGAAACAAGCAGGTGTGGGGTGAGTGAGGATACCTATGCAAACATATAAAAGCTGGAAAGAAAAAACAAAATGGCACAATTGTAAGAAGAAAATACTAGCACATTTCAGAAGTAATTAAAAGAGCAATGATTTTTTTATTAATATTAAAATTGGTTAGACAACATTATATGGCTACTCTGATTTATATGACTTTATAAGATTAGAGCAACAACTTCCATAACTACATTTACCTACCATATACATCATAGGTACACAGGATGGGATTTCAACTAAAATAATGAAATTTGTAAGCCTGAACTGTTAGCCTTTCAGTTGGGCAATGAGGATACCATCAAGCATTCTACACTTACACTGAAGACACTGAACCACAGTCAAAGTATGTAAACCTAAGTAATTTGATTTAAGAACAAGCAATCTTATTTAATTATTATACATCATAGGGTCTATATATAAATATCTCACTGTCTTCAGTAGCACCCAATACCCTCTAATACATCTGCTATTAATTTATACCTTATGACTGTTTAGTATTTATAGATGGGGTTGTAAACGAGGTAAATGCTAGGGTGTTGGGGAGAGGGATGGGATTAAATTATAAGGACTCAAATACAAAATGGGAGTTGAAACAGTTACTGTTTTGCTGATGATGTGCTTTTAGGAGATTCTAAAAAAAAGTTGCAAAGGTCATTGGATGAGTTTCGGAGGGTGTGTAAAGGTAGAAAGCTGAAAGTGAACATAGATAAGAGTAAGGTGATGAGGTTATCAAATGATTTAGATAAAGAAAAACTGGATATCACAATGGAGAGAGGGAGTATGGAAGAAGTGAATGTTTTCAGATATTTGGGAGTTGACTTGTCAGTAGATGGGTTTATGAAAGATGAAGTTAACCATAGAATGATGAAGGAAAAAAGGTGAGTGGTGCAATGAGGTATCTGTGGAGACCAAAAACATTATCCATGGAGGCAAAGAAGAGAATGTTTGAAAGTATAGTGGTACCAACACTCTTATATGGGTCTGAAGCTTGGGTTGTAAATGCTGCAGCGAGGAGGTGGCTGGAGGCAATGGAGATGTCGTGTCTAAGGGCAATGTGTGGTGTAAATATTATGCAGAGAATTCGGAGTGTGGAAATTAGGAGGAGGTGTGGAGTTACTAAAAGTATTAATCAGAGGGCTGGAGAGGGGTTCTTGAGGTGGTTTGGTCATTTAGAAAGAATGGAACAAAGTAGAATGACTTGGAGAGCATATAAATTTGTAGGGGAACGAAGGTGGGGTAGGGGTTGTCCTCGAAAAAGTTGGAGGGAAGGGTTAAAGGAGGTCTTGTAGGCAAGGGACTTGGACTTCCAGCAAGCATGCGTGAGCGTGTTAGATAGGAGTGAATGGAGACGAACAGTTTTTGGGGCCTGACGAGCTGTTGGAGTGTGAAGGGATTCAGGGAAACCAGTTAGCAGGACTTTAGTCCTGGAAATGGGAAGTACAATGCTTGCACTTTAAAGGAGGGGTTTGGGATATTGGCAGTTTGGAAGGACTTCTAACTGTTATATCTGAGCACTTATGCAAAGACAGTGATTATGTATGAGTGATGGTGACGGTGGGAGACGGACGACTTGTTGAAAAAAAAAAAGAAAGAAAGCATTTTTCTTTCTTTTTAGGTTTTTCTTTCTTTTTGGGTCACCCTGCCTCATTGGGAAACAGCCGATGTGTTATTAAAAAAAAAAAGCTCTGTTTAATCTATTATAATTGATGAAATAAATGTTTCTGCCAAATCATCTCTTAAGTAAGCAGGAATAAAAGACATCCAATATATTTTAGTATATTTCATGGGAGCATGCATAGTTCCTTTGTATAAAGGCAAAGGGAACAAAAGAGTGTAAAAATTATAGGGGAATACATCTGTTGACTACACCTGGTAAAGTGTATGGTCGAGTTACTATTGATAGAATTATGAGTAAGACGGAGAGCGGGATAGCAGATGTACAAGGAGGCTTTAGGAAAGGTAGGGGATGTGTAGATCAGGTGTTTGCAGTGAAACACATAGGTGAACAGTATTTAGATAAGAGTAAAGAGGTTTTTGTGGCATTTATGGATTTGGAAAAGGCATATGATAGGGTGGATAGGAAAGCAATGTGGCAGATGTTGCAAATGTATGTAACAGGAGGTAGGTTATTGAAAGTGGTGAAAAGTTTTTACGAGGATAGTGAGGCTCAGGTTAGAGTATGTAGGTGAAAGGGGGATTATTTCCCAGTAAAAGTAGGCCTTAGACAGGGATGTGTGATGTCGCCATGGTTGTTCAATATATTTATAGACGGAGTTTACTACTCCGTCTATAAATATATTGAAGTAAATGCTCGGGTGTTGGCAAGAGGTGTGGAGTTAGATGAAGAATCTAACACAAAGTGGGAGTTGTTACAGTTGCTCTTTGCTGATGACACTGTGCATTTGGGAGATTCTGAAGAGAAGTTGCAGAGGTTGGTTGATGAGTTGGTAGGGTATGTAAAAGAAGTTAAAAGTGAATATAGGAAAAAGTAAGGTGATGAGGATAACAAAAAAATTAGGTAATGGAAGACTGGATATCAGATTGGAGGAGGTGAATGTGTTCAGATATTTGGGAGTAGACGTGTCAGCAGATGGGTCAACGAAGGATGAGGTGAATCATAGAATTGACGAGGCAAAAAAGGTGAGTGGTGCACTGAGGAGTCTGTGGAGACAAAGAACTCTATCCATGAAAGCAAAGAGGGGAATGTATGAGTGTATAGTTATATCAATGCTCTTGCATGGGTGTGAGGCATGGGTTGTGAATGTTGCAGCAAGGAGAAGGCTGGAGGCAGTGGAGATGTCATGTCTGAGGGCAATGTGTGGTGTGAATATAATGCAGAGAATCCGTAGTTTGGAGATTAGGAGGAGGTGTGGGAATACTAAAACTATTATCCAGAGTGCTGAGGAGGGGTCACTGAGATGGTTTGGACATGTAGAGACGATGGAACGAAATGGAATGACTTCGAGAGTATACAATTCTGTAGTAGAGGGAAGGCAGGGTAGGGGTCGGCCTAGGAAAGGTTGGAGGGAGTGGGTAAAGGAGGTTTTGTGTGCGAGGGGCTTGGACCTCCAGCAAGCATGCGTGAGTGTGTTAGACAGGAGCGAATGGAGACAAATGGTTTTTTAGGACCTGATGTGCTGTTGGAGTGTAAGCAAGGTAACATTTATGAAGGGATTCAGGGAAACCGGAAGGATGGACTCGAGTCCTGGAGATGGGAAGTACAGTGTCTGGACTCTGAAGAAGCAATGTTAATGTTACAGTTTTAAAACTGTGGTGTGGGCTTGCCTCTGGCATGACAGTGATGGAGTGAATGATGATGAAAGTTTTTCTTTTTCGGGCCACCCTGCCTTGGTGGGAAATGGCTGATGTGTTAATAATAAGAATAATAAATAAAATATTTCATGGGTACAATATATAAAATATTAGGAAAAAATAAGATAGTATAGAAAACTAAGAAGATAAAAATACATACATAAAACCTACCTGGATTCTGGAAACTGGAGAAATCATACGACATGAGAGAAAATGCATCAACAACATCCACCAACAATTTGAAGTGTTTTTCTAAAAAGGAACCCGGAGAATTTCTGAAATTAAAACAAAGTTAAAATGCACATACTTTTATTTTTAAAACATGTTAAATATATCCATTTACATAAACTATAAACATGAACATGATGTCAATACCTCCTCCATCATGCTCATAGTATACTGTAACACGCTTTACACACGAACTTTACAATGCTGTATTCGAATTTATCATCTTGCATCCCTTCTCATACTTCCTTCCCTTATACATCATATTTATCCAATGTATACTCATTCTACATGTATTTTATCCACAATGACAAAGGCAAACTGTATTATTCTACTCTACAGTACTATATTATAATAAGTACAGTGCCTATACTCTAAAGGAGAGGTTTTGGATATTTGCTGTTTGGAGGGACATCTAAACTATTGTATCTGCACACCTCTGGCAAGACAGTGGCAGTGTGAATGATGGTGAAGTGTTTCTTTTTTCTGGTCACCCTGCCTTGGTGGCCGACGGTTAGCGTGTAAAAAAAAAAAAAAACTGCAATATTCTTTATTTGCAAACTGACTCAAAAGTTTCTACAATTAATAAAACTGTAAATTACTTATAAGTTAAAAAAGTTTTATGACACTCGAAAATTGTCAAAACTAATTACAGAATAAATACATGATAATGTTTCATTTGCAGAAATTTATATTAACCTAGTGTAAATTAGAAAAAAATACTACAGTACAGCACAAAACTTTTGCAAAGCGTATATTAAGCACAGCAGTTTAACAAGTCTTGAGCTCAGATGGACTCTCTATAATTTTCAATGCCTGTCCTCCTCTCAAGGATGAATTTTCTTTCTGCCTCCCAGCAAGACTCAATAACTTGATAAGTTGGCAACATGTAAATTTTTCAGTGTCTCCTCAACAGTGTGTATGGAAAATCAACTAGTTCATAATTATCCATGATATAGGAGAGATGGTATCCTTTGTACTAAGATTCTATGGAGTTGCAGTGTCAGACAGGTATGGCAGCAGTAATGGTATACAATACTGACAAGATGATGAATATGACACTGCACTACTTACAGTAGTTTGTAGTAGAAATGCCAGAATGTAGAAAAACTGACAAGTGTCTCATTCTTCAATGCCAGAGTCAAAATTGGGTTAACTATAAAGATTTTGCAGTCTAAAACAGGACTACACTGTTTATATACAATGTTCTGATGCAATTAGCATACTGGTAGTTCTTAGGCATGAGCAAATTAAAATTTTGGATTTCCTTAATAGTTCTGGCACAGAAAACTAATTAATGACAAACCTTTGGTATACAGCAGGTGGAATAACGAGAATAAATGTGTGGCCAGCTTTGCGTATCTTTTGCGCCAGCTCACGCACAAAACTTGGCAATTGTTCAAGCAGCTCAAGATTAGGCATCTGACTCCAAATCTCCAAAACAATACCATCTAAATGGTGCATCTGAAAAGGAAAAAAAAGTTACTCAGTATAACTTTGACAACACCAGAAATCTGGGTTTTGAAATTAATCCCAATTAGATATTTTCTGCAGTATATCATGCATATATGTGTGTAGATTTCTTGACTGAGAACCAGCTCAGAACTTTTGTCCTGTCTAGTGTCTGGCATGCAATACACGGTGATCATATGTAAGTTTTAGAGCTCAACATCCAGAAGGAAGTACATAAAAATGCAGTTTGTCTTTTGATTGTTAATTTGCAAAGTCAGTAGACAGCAACTGTCCAGGAAAACAGTAAAAATGGAAGCTTGTTTAATAATGTTTTACACTGATGGGATTGCTGTTTTTTCTTTGTAACATGAATGTAGGAACCTGGTTGTTCTTTTTTAATTGCTTGTATTTACAATAATAAACAGTTATCTTTAATTCTGTCTTGTGAAATATTTTCTTAAATGTGGTTAGAATCCTACTCCCTTAGATATGCATGCCACATTATTAAATTTCCAAACACATGGGGAAATTACCCATTCCCAGCAATTAATAACCAAACACAAAGATATAAATTCTGAGGTAGGGATATTTAAATGTGTGTGCTGTAATAAGAGTAAGGAATGATTGTTGATGTTATACATGAAAGGAAATTGAATGTCAAGTATTAAGTGAGACAAGTTAAGAGGGATACATATGAAACAAGTTAAGAGAGATACACATGAACATGTGCACTCTTTTGGACGAATTTAATTTTTTAACACATGGCCATCTTCCATCGAAGTAGGGATACCTAAAAAAAGAGGAAACATATTCACCATCATTCACTCAATTACTGTCTTGTTGAAGCTAAAATTTTAATTTCACATGGTTTGGTCTAGTGAAAGTGAATCATGGAATCTACAAACTACATCAAGGATGGGGCTTGAACCCCATAGCAGGGAGGAGATTAAGCTCTGGGCAAATTATTATCTTTGACAATTCTTTTCTCTGCCCACAACAGAGCTATAACTATTCCTACCCATACACAGTATAAAAGGTAAGCTTACAAAATACATCTCCTGGTCTCACATGTAATGAAACTAGATTCCATGACTCACAAAATCGTAATGACACTATTGCAAACAAACGATACTATGGGTGGGGCTTGAACCTGTGGTTAGAGAGTCATAAAACTCTAGACCAAAGTGTTAGCCACTGGACCAGCTGGCTACAATAAGATTCATCCAACTGGGTATATTTATACACGATAGGAAGTTTAGCATAGGCACCACTGTGACCACAAATGCAAATTTTTACAGACAAATCTCCTATGCTAACCTTCTTAAGGTGTATAAATACACCTAGTTGGATGAATCTTATTGTAGCAAACTGCCCCAGTGGCTAACATGTCGGTCTGGAGTTTTACGACTCTAACCATGGGTTCAAATCCCGCCCGTGGTATGGTTTTTTTGCAATCGTGTCATTACGATTTCCTGAGTCATGGAATCTACAGTTTCATTACATGTGAGACCAGAAGATGTAGTTGGTAAACTTATCCTTTATACTGTGTATGGGTGGGAATAGTTATAGCTCTGTTGTGGGCAGAGGAAAGAATTGTGAAAGATAATTTGCCCAGATTGGAGGGAGAGAGTATGGAGGAGGTGAATGTATTCAGATATTTGGGAGTGGATGTGTCAGCGGATGGGTCTATGAAAGATGAGGTGAATCATAGAATTGATGAGGGGAAAAGGGTGAGCAGAGCACTTAGGAGTCTGTGGAGACAAAGAACTTTGTCTTTGGAAGCAGAGAGGGGAATGTATGAGAGTATAGTTTTACCAACACTCCTGTATGGGTGTGAAGCATGGGTGATGAATGTTGCAGCGAGGAGAAGGCTGGAGGCAGTGGAGATGTCATGTCTGAGGGCAATGTGTGGTGTGAATATAATGCAGAGAATTCATAGTTTGGAAGTTAGGAGGAGGTGCGGGATTGCCAAAACTGTTGTCCAGAGGGCTGAGGAAGGGTTGTTGAGGTGGTTCAGACATGTAGAGAGACTGGAGCGAAACAGAATGACTGTAGTGGAAGGAAGGCGGGGTAGGGGTCGGCCTAGGAAAGGTTGGAGGGAGGGGTAAAGGAGGTTTTGTGTGTGAGGGGCTTGGACTTCCAGCGGGCATGCGTGAACGTGTTTGATAGGAGTGAATGGAGACAAATGGTTTTTAATACTTGACGTGTTGTTGGAGTGTGAGCAAAGTAACATTTATGAAGGGATTCAGAGAAACCGGCAGGCCGGACTTGAGTCCTGGAGATGGGAAGTACAGTGCCTGCACTCTGAAAGAGGGGTGTTAATGTTGCAGTTTAAAAACTGTAGTGTAAAGCACCCTTCTGGCAAGACAGTGATGGAGTGAATGATGGTGAAAGTTTTTCTTTTTTGGGCCACCCTGCCTTTGTGGGAATTGGCCAGTGTTTTAATAATAATAATAATTTGCCCAGAGCCTAATCTCCTCCCTGGTATTAGAAAGGATGCAGAGCTGTTTACACCAGTGAATGGTGAGAAGTTTCCACATACTAATGCCATCAATATCATAGAATAAATTTAAAAATTTGCACATTTAATGTTTCCTCTCTACTGTAAAATTAATTATGGGAAGCACTAAATGCTTAACGATCATACAGTGCCTAGAAAATGAGAGATAATCAGGCATGATCCCAGAAGGGAAAAGTATTTAAAATTAACAACCTTAAACTTTGTAACATACATACATAATTTATAAATTTACAAGTATCATTTTTATACAATGTGTATTGTAGATGCATTTGCAAAAGTTCCATATGTTCAATTTCCATATTATTTTTGTGAAGTATTAGATAATATAAGTACCTTGATCAAAGTGATGATGTTATTAGCAAGCTTATCACGTTGATTCTCCGAATCAAAGAGTTCTCTGAAATCACGGGGTTGCCATCCTTCAAATAAAATTCGAGGTACAACTGCAAAACACAAATTACATTTTAGATATTTTTTAACACACTGGCTGTGTCCCTTCTGTAATTTATACAGGAGAGGGGAATAATTGCTAGGCTCTTGCTCCCGGCACTTTGGTTGCCTCTTATTACATGTATGGCTTATGGAGGAAGGATTCTTCTCCACTTCCTCATGGAAATATTTTAGAGATCTCTGCTGTAATTAAAGGAGGAAAAATTTATTTCCTAATAAATTCAATGAACTCAGTGTAGATATTAAATCCATTAATTCTGTATGAATTACAAGACTTCCAAAGTTTTTAAATAATATTTTAAATAAATATTCAAAACACTCAACCTACTCACCATACAAAACATCCATACTTATTATTGCACTTATTACATACATAGAACACTTAACTCTGATATTAACCCTCCCCTCAAACATCTCCTTGCCAACCTCAACAGAACACATGACCATAATACAAGGCACAGATCACTCTTTGATGTTCCTCGTGTCCATCTCACGCTATGCAAAAACTCAATGCACATAAAAGGCCCTAAAATCTGGAATTCATTACCTGTAAATATAAAAGAAACACTACCTGTTTATAAATTCAAGTCTCTTCTCAAAGTTCACTTACTCACTCAAAACCAAATAAATACTGAATAACTGAACCATATAAATTGTATATCCTAAATGTTACTCACAATTATATCACACAAATGTTAAACCTAACTTGTTATTTTTTTAAATACACTACCAAACAGAATACTCCATTCTACTGAATGAACAGCAATGCATGCAACCATAGGACCTGTCTTTGTAATACTCATTTGTATTTTATAGTTATCTGTTTACAATAATGTCTTATCACTGATTTCATCATTGCTTAGTTAATCTTAAGTTAATTTTAAGCCAGCCCGTAATGCTATGCATATAAGTGGCTTTGGCATGCTGCTCTTACCTGTATGCTAAACTACTGAGTTTATGTATTGTACCCTAAGTAAACAATTTATGAAAAAGAGGAATTTGTGGAAGTGTGGTTGAATGTTGGGTAAGTCATTAATATAAGTCCTGCACTGACACTACCTCTCCTTGCACCATATTACACCTCTCCTTCCCTCACACTCTCTCCCTTCCTCACACTTGCACCTACTCCCCAAGCCCTCATTCCCTCTGTCTCTCCTCCCTCACACTCACCATTTCACACTCACACCCTCCCTGTTACAGTGCTAACATCCCAGGTTTTAGTGCCCACAGAACCAGGCAAGATTTCACCATAGAAGTTTCACTGCTAAATGAGTAATGAAATAATAAGCCAAGGTGACTGCTATGTCTGTACCCTGGCAATTCCCTATAATGAGGTGCATACAAGTTTGTGAGAACTTCTAATTGTAGTCATATTGTATGTATTAGTCCTTATGCACGAGCAATAAAGCATCGGTGAAGTATTTATTATTAAAGGCAAAGCACTACACCCATAAAAGTCATGCAGTGCCTTGGAAAAAAGAAGCAATTGGGTTGGATCCAAAGGGAAGAGCAAGTCTAATTCCTTTTATCAAGAAACCTTCCTTGAGGGGTGCAATGCAGTAATACCAAACATTAGATATCCACAATTCAGAACCCTAGTCCTTAACCAAATTTAACCATTATAGGTAAATCTAGTATTTTACCTAACTACATTCAATCATAAGAAATACAGAATGCTTATCTTTTAACTAGTTTCTATATGCACAACATTTAATACAGCTAATTACAAGAAAATACATTTAATTACATAAAAACCAATGTATAATAATGTGACAGGATTAAGATTAATTTTCAAAAGTTGCAAAAGATGTCTAAAAGTTCAGAATTTCTGATAATACCCTACTGTCTATAAATTCTTTAATTTTAGAACATGGGTCAGGAAACAAGAAAATGCCTCTAGACACAGTCTTTAATGGCGACCCACAGTGTGATTAAGCAACCATGGACAAACAGGTGCCATGTAGTCAGTGATTAAGCAACTTACTTGAGACAGATTTTCCACCTACAAAGGATTATTATTTAATATCGTTGGATAAAATTTACTCCTATACTTGTGGCACAGCCTTTAATTTAATCCCTTCCTCAAATCATATATACTGTACAGTACTTTATCACAGTACTGCTGAAACCAACTTTACTGTAGTAACTGTAATCTATTAGCTTCTAAACTCTTAACTTCCAGGACTATCTACATATTCATTTCCAGTCAATCTCTTCTATTTTATTTATAGATCCATGAATAAATGATACTTTTTTTTTTTGCTGTACATTTTTGTACTATACTACAATTCACAAGTCTGGCCTACTGACAAATTAATATATTTTATAAAATCTCATAATTCTAGCTTAACAAATAATTCCTTGACAAGAAGTTTTATATTCTATCTCTGCCATAATTAAGAAGTTAACTACTCCATAGTTTTAAAATAATTTATTATTTTTGACAACTACTCCATGGGGGTCCCCTGTTTATGAACAAGATGTGTTCACAGTATTTCAAATTATGTATGAACAAGTCATTTATAACTCTGAGCCTTTTTCCTGAACAAAATGATAATACAAAGTACACATACAATGAACTTTACAATCATACTTTTCATCACTGATGAAAAATTATGTACATTATGATTTCTAAATGAACAGAAGTTTCAAGACAAAATAAAATTGTTCATTCATAATTTATAGTAAACTCACTTTTGACATTAACACCTTTTCCAGCCTTTTTAATTTCCTTCATCCACCCTTGGTCAATATCATGGTCTCCAGTAATGATGGTTTCTCCTCCACTGTGTTTCAGCTGTAGCCAAACTGGTGCTATTGGGTAAATTTACCACCCAGAAACTTGGCTACATCATAGCCATGATTGTTCCACTGAAACAAATTAGATTAACTATTAAAGTTGGCTAACACTTAAATGTGTAATGTTTCCATGTTCTAAAACAAATAAAATGGAACATGTAATCTCTGTAACAAGGATAATAAAGTTGTATACAGTACAGTACTTTTGAGTCAGTTATTCTTATGCCAGGCAACAACTACACCTGTAGTTTCAGAAAGAATATAATTGAAGAACATCTGCAAAATTAATTTTTTAACCGAATTTAAGACTTGACACTAGTCCATCCTGGACTGCAACGTTCTTATAAGGTTGTAACTTGACAATAGTCCATCCTGGAACTGAAATGTTAACATAAGGTTCCTCTCCTGAGTATGGAATTTTGAAATACTATAGTACTGTGTACTACTAATTCCATGACTTGATGCAAAAGCAACAATGAATGCAGAAACTAGCCTACTTAAAATAGTCAACAATAAATATATTATGGTACATAATAGGCAATTATAAACAAATTAAGCAGTTAAATAATGGAATCAGGATGGTAATGCATTTCAAAACAGAACTGAATAAACTTCTTATGTACTATAACATATGGGTAGATTATATTCAAGGTAATCAGGAAACCTGCCACTTCATTATATCTAAAACTACTTAAAATTAAGACAACATTAAGACTTTACATAAAAGATTTTTCAATATTAATTTTAAGGTACAGAGTATACATATGATATGCAATTACAGCATGTGTACATACTACCAAAAAATCTTACCGGGGTGACATAAGCCAGAGTCATATGGCTTACAGCTCTGAGGGCAGTATTTCCATGATAGCTGCCATGGTTTTCCACAACATCCTTCCACTTAGGACGATCAGTTACAAGGCCACGCTCAAATACAGTCTTGTTAAGTGAACCAGATACCTGTATATGTAGTATATCAAATTGGATTTTTCAACATTAAGGAGGAACATGGTGTTTTCATGTAATAAATTTTAATAATTTTTCTTTTACATATCCTTCATATAAATATGACTTATAAAGCAAACAATTTTGTAAATAAACTAATTATTGAAAAAATAAATTAGTAATCTATATTCAAAACCTTCCTCCCCCATTTTACTTCACTCAACACTCATCATGTACCATTCTCCATTATTAACTCTCCTCCTTTTCTATTCCCCAAACCCTCTATCCCTACCTCTCCACTACCTTACCTCTCTGACTGGTTTCTTCTCATGGGCTCTCTGCCTTTCCAGCCCAGAATTTCTAGAAGAGAAATGCTCCTATATAACTGGAGCCTTCGTTCACTTCCACTTTTAAAATTTTTTTAGTTCATCTATGTGATGATGGCAACAACATTACCTGGCTCTAAGAGAAACACTTGCATGGCCACTGTAGCTACCATGTACATACTTCTATTACAGACCTTATCAAAAAAGCAACTCACTATTTCTCCACCAGCTTCGGATCTGTAGTCTATACCATCTGCAGGGTCATAAGATATACATAAATTGGGAGGTAACTATCGACCAGGCCTAGTGAACAAAAAGTATGCGCAATGTAGTAGGATGACCTAAACATTAGCATTATTCAAAGACACTTGAAAATCACCTCATGAATTGACGACACACTCAGTCTTTGGTAAACCTGAATTAAATAGGCACTGATGCTTAATAGCTTCTCATCGCTGTTTCTAACACCACACTACTGAGCAGAAATCAAATAGTTATAGCATCTCCATCACCGTAGCCCACATGATTTCTGACCATGTCTACATAGCATCAAGCAATTGGGTTACCTGCCCTGTCATTTGCATAAACCTGGCCAGACAATGCTTATACATGTTCAGGTATGCTATGTATCATTGAGTTATTCATTAGAGAGCACTAAACCCCTAAGGGTCAACGTTGGAGTGATCTAGGTCCCACGACTAAAACATTTCCTATTAAAATGTCTTAAATACTTAAAAATGTGTCCTTTGCCTCAACAAACATGTTCCCATAACAGACAATTTGAATAACACTGTAGGCACAACATAAATTGTATAATCACACGATGAATGGATCGAGGTCAAATAGTCATCACAAGGAATGAATTAATTAAAAAAAAAATGGTTAAAAACTATCTTCACAACATCCAGCGCTGTGTTTAATGAAAGCAAGTTTTAAATTGGTTAGGCCTCTGGCAATACAGGTGCTGAACAAAGCATATCGTCGTGGCCAACTATAAAATTGAACTTGCCTCCCACTACTGTACCTCATCGCCACAACCCTTCTCCTTATATGCATATTATACTCTCCATACATACTTGCATTGGCTTGAAAAGACAATGCAAATATTATTATTACAGGAAGAACACTAAACCCGTAGGGATAATCAGATGGAGTTTACCTGATTACCAACGTACACGAGGTAATCGGGCACATTCATCACCTTTAAAACTACCATTAGAAAATATCTTATCTCCTGATACACCCCGTCAAGGACCCCAATGGAAATAAGTCACTGTCTGACTTTTTGGGTTATCCTAGGTTCTCTACACACATGCTGCTATGTATGATAATTCTATGTAACTGTATTTGTGTATACCTGAATAAACTTACTTACTTACTTACTAACTACACGAATACCACCTGGTGGTTCACCACTTACACTCACCCAATTGACCATAAACAGAAATATCAATCTCAATCTTAAAATAATGATCCTAACTAGTCAAAGTTGGCCTGTGATACTCCAATACTGAAACTATGTACTGTGCCAAAACAAAAGCATTCACATTGCTAAACTCACAACTAGTATTTAGTCACTTAGCCATAATACCAACTTACCTCATAATTTGTAATATTTTAAATTTAAGAATTAATCTAAGTCTGTGCCCGAAATGCCTAGCCATGCTAGGTGTTCTAGTGGTACTCTGTAATTATTTTACTACATGTAAACCACACAATAACCAAATTCTGTAAACTCAGCATTGTAATCCTTATAGAGAATAAACTTTGAATTTGAATTTGAATCAAGAAAAGATCAGGGCCAGATTCTTGCACAAAGCCTCTCACCAGCGTCAAGGAACCTCCTTGGAGGGAAGATGAAACTGTATCCTTATTAGTTATTAGTCTACCAAGACTGCACTTGTTGTGTTTTTGCATATAATCTGTAGATATTATTATATATAATACCATTTACTGATAACAAAACATTTGCAAAACTTGAGTATATTACCCAAATTTCGTTTGCACAACATGTTTCTCTAGTAGGATACAGGTGAATAAGGCACTGGAAACATAGTAGTAGTACTGATGTCGTCACCCTAGGTAGATGGCGGTCAGTAACTCAAGCCTAAAGCATAGCCATGCGGTCAACCTTATATTCTAGAGTAGAGGTGGAATGAAACAGCTCGAGTTTGTCATAGTGTCAAAGACGTTTAGAGGCGAGTTCAAGATGTCTTATCTCCCACAAACAAGAACTCGTTGAGTGCAAACACTACCAGTCCCCCCATTCCCCTCCTCAAACACACAAGGTGAATAAAGACAGGCCGTTTGTGATATGATGACGCCAGAGGTGAAAAAAGCACGAACTGTGGTGCACTATTATAGGCTATACTGGCCCATGTTACATTCACACCTAACACTTCTCATATCTCCTCAAGGGAGGTAGGTGCCTTGATGCCCGTGAGGGGCGCTTGATCCAAGGAAGTGGAAAGCTCCCGTTACTTGTCTCATTCCTCAGGCACTATATGAACCCCTACGGTTTTAGCAGTATAATGCAATCTTTATTGGTAACGTTTAACCCACACAATGGGCTGTCACAAATAGGATGTTTGGCGATAAAATTCACTGTATGGCAAAACGTTATCAATAAAGGATTGCATTATACTGCTGTCTTTTCCTCTGTGAGAGAGAGATTTGTAAAAGCGACAAGTTGACATACACTATGGAAGAATGGAAACTTTTACAAAGACACCAATTTCGTTGCAAATCCATATTTTAAGTTTAAAAGACGAGTCTCAGAATGCAAGGAAGCAATTTTTTCCAGTCTCAGAGTGGCAAGTACAAAAACTAAAGAGGAAGTGGATGCAAACATCACGCAGCTTCACGCTTAGGCATGATTGGACCCTGTAGACCAGGAATCAGTAAAACCGGTCGATAAGAATCAGAGGCGCGACCAAGAGCTGGAATGCTACCCTTACAGAATACTCATACACACATTCTTCATATGCATACCTACTCTAATCCACATACACAACACTCATTCCATATACATAAAAGTAACAGGATAACGGAAAACAAAACTATAAAAATGTAAAAATTAACGTGGTGTTATTTATGTAGTAAATTTTCGAACTGGCAACATAAGGAGCTTCCTTTTAAATGTGATACAGTGTGGTTTTCCCGAGGTGTGGTGTAAAGAATGTCAGCTCAACATACTTCAAGAAATCAATTAAGACCATACAATACAAATGGTAGGTGAATTGCACTTTCATACATGTTGTATAAACATGTTACCATACACATTAATTAACTGCATATTACGTTTCTAGTGGTGAAACTTAGCATTCATGTCACTGAAACAGGATTTACAGTATATTATACACATGATGACAAAATAATGCTTTACTTGTTGAGAACTGTTTATAAATGAATTCAGGTTGGATAAATTTGAAGGAATGAAGTGGTTTAGTAATAAAATTATAGATGGGTGAAACAAACAAGCAAGGAGGGCTACTGAAACGAAGGAAATTGGATAACTTTCAAAATAGGATTAGGAGATACACGAATAAGAAGTGGAATTTATCTAGTTTAGACCAGTGGATGAACATGTTACGTGCAACACTTGGGAATTTTTATTGCCGAAACGTTTCGCCCATATAAGAGGCTTCGTAAGTCGAATAGAGACGAATACAATAGGGGACAATATAAGCCTGTTGTGCAGGCGAAACGTTTCGGCAGTAAAGATACCAAGTGTTGCATATGTCTTATTCATCAACTTCTCGGTATTGTATGCCATCAATAACATGATGAACCTACACCAATGCTCTATATTTAAGAATTTACTCTGCTTCAGGTGAGCACAAGGCATGGACCATATGGCTCATTGTCAGGTCTAATGTGGATTTACTCTATATTTGCCCTATTGTTACGAACTCTGGAAAGCGATTACAGTCATTTCGCTTATAAAAATCTTATTATTGTTTTTGATTTGCTGCAGTTAAGCTTTGCTATTATGTACAAGCTGTTTTTCAATATAAATAAATTAATATATATATATATATATAATATATATATATATATATATATATATATATATATATATATATATATATATATATACACACACACACACACACACAACCCCACACCACACACATATCTCTCCATGGGCCTGAAGAGGGGGCAAAAACTTCTTATGTATTTTAAAACCCTATGGGTAGATTATTTTCAAGGTAATCAAAAAACCTTTGCCACTTCTTTAATTTTAAAACTAAAAAAATTTAAAAAACAACATTAAGATTTAAAATTTAAAATTTTTTTCAATAAAATTTTTAAAGGGGTACGGGATTTATACATTATTTTTTTTATCACCCCCGGCCGATTCCCCCAAAGGCAGGGTGGCCCGGAAAAAAAAAAAACTTTCCCCAAATTCATTCACTCCATCACTTTTCTTTGCCAAAAAGGGTGTTTTTTAAAATACAGTTTTAAACTGCAACTTAAACAATTTCCTTCAGAGTGCAGGCCCCTGTATTTCCCCAAATCTCCAGGACTAAGCCCGGGGCCTGCCGGTTTCCTGAATCCCTTCAAAAATGTTACTTTGCTCACACCCAAACAGCACGTAAGTTTTTAAAAAACCCATTTGTCCCCTTCATTTCCCTAAAAAAACACGCTCACGCTTCCCTGTTTGGAAGCCCAAACCCCCTCGCACAC